AGCAATCATTGGAAGGACGTTACTAACCAGGTAAAGTCTTAACTGACTGTGAAGTTTACATTCTACCTGTCTATGTCAGCTGTTATTTCTGACTCTGTGTGTCTTTCTCTCTCTCTGTGTGCATTTCTCTCCGATCTCGACTCCAGTACTCCAGCGACCTTGGTGCTGCCGCGGGGGCCACCTTCTGCCCCGCCCCCGCTCTCCGCCCATCTCCTCTGCCCCCCTACTGCAGAGGCCTATATAATAACCTCGTGCCACGGCAGATCTCTCGCCTACTTCAGCAATTTTTTTCTTGTTGTGGTTGTTCCACCTGATGACGACTGCTTGTGTTGCGATCGAAACGTTGTGATCTATTATTTTTCTACCTACGTGATTTTACCCAAAGAACCAAAGAGTATGACAGTTATTTTGTTCATGCAGTCAAAATGTTTCGATTTGGTTCCCTGAGTGGAATTGAAACATGTGATATATGAGTTTGGATTATGGTTTTATGCGCTATTTCAAGTCACAATCTTTTGGGGTTTTCGATTGAGAAGCAGTTGGCCAGTAATGCCATGCTATCTACTTTTGTTGGCTGATATCGTTGTGGATGTCCATCTATTAGTGGATGAAATTCCACAAATGTTGTCGAGGGTGTGTGTGAGGTTTAGTCCCTCGACTCCCTCAACCCAATGCTTGCTGCTGCCTTTCTTCATTCAGTGTCTGAAAAAGTGCACTTTCTTATTCTTCTTTTCATATGGCAACTGATGCAGATGGCAGAGCAACAACTACAATTTCATATTCAGGTGGTCAAGCCAGATACAGTAACAGCGTCAGGAGCAGTGGAGTAGCGTATCGCCGTGATATCTCCTTTGTATTTGTGGATCGGGCATTGCGTCGTGATACGTTGTACGGTCTGTTCTGGATGACCACATTCGCACGCTGCAGAGTTTTCACTTTTCCATTTGTGCATCAAGTATCCGCATCTGCAACCATAATTTGTACAGTTGGATGTGGTTTAGGGTGGACCATGAGCTTCATGGAAGATCAAACCCATGGAGGGATCATCTGCATTGGGTCCGGATTGTCACCAGTTTCCTGTTCATCAGTATTACTAGCATCCCCCAATCTAGGAACCAGCAGGGGTTGTGTTCTTTTCTGTGTTCTCTCAGGAAGTTATTTTTGGCTGCGGATTTGAGGACGTTAGTGAACCTCTCATACATAAGAGGTTGTTTTGGATTATATCGCGTAAATATATAAATATGTCGTTACAACCCGCCACCACCCAACACAGCCAATGAGTAAGGGTTGTCATAAAAACATAACATGCCAATTCGTCACTAGTACATCACACCGTTGTGTTGGAGAGCCAAGCCACAACATTTACAATCTGAATATGACGTTTGGCCAGTAATTACAACTAGCTTCACCAGGCGACAGCCAGATTTGTGGAGAAGTCTGTTTCGTTTCTTATATAGAGGCGTAGATGTGGTGACCACGCTTCTGTGCTCTTTCACAAAGTGGGGGGGGGGGGGGGGGGTTACTGAGGCAACGTACATTATGCATTATGCGAGCCTTTTGAACTTCTCCTTACTGTCTACTGTGTATTAAAATAGCCGTACCAACCGTAATCCCTTTTGAAGTATGCTGCCCTTTGTAGGCATGCATTTAAATAATGTATTATTTGATGGTTCGCTTCCAAGAAACACTATGGCGGTAGCTATCCGAATGGTTCAAGTTATTTTTATTAATTTCAATTTCGATAGATCATCTAATTAGTATTGGCCAGTAATAGCTAGTTTTGCACAGAACTTCAATATTATCAAAATCAATTGAGTGTCCTTGATGGCACGCGTGTTCTGCTACTACTGACAGTTGTATTTGGGATAAATTAATATTTCTCTGATGTTATTTTAGTCTCCTGCTGATCATTCGTCCCGTTTGCCCAACATAACATATACCACACGTGCAGTTAATCCTGTACACACCTTCTGTTGATAGCTTCGGTAATACATATTTTGTGCCAGATATTAATTTCTGTATTTTATGTACCGTGCCAAATCTGACTCAGATGTTTTGTTTTTGCAAACATTTGTCAAGTTTATCAGTTACTTGCACAATGTATGGAATTTTTATCTTTTTAATTACTTGGGCAGTTTCAATGCTTGTGTTATTTGATTTGGTTTTGGCATTCAATGTTCTGTTGATTTGTGCATCATTGTAACCGTTCATTTGCAGCGCTTCTTTAACATGTTGAATTTCACTTCTCAGACTGTCACCATCTGACACTTTCTTAGCTCGATGAATGAGCATCATGATAAGAGCAAATTTCTGTGCGGGGTGATGGTGTGACTGCATTCAGATAGGCGTCATCATGCGTTTTCTTTCCGTAAACACCGTGTGCAATTTTACCCTTTCGACCCTGTCCGAGCAGAATATCCAGAAATGGTAGAGTTCTGTCAGCCTCCACTTCCATGGTGCACTGGATGGAAGGGTTTGCGAGTTGAGATGATTTAGAAATGTGTTCAGTGTATCTTTGCCGTCTGGTTAGACCACCAATGTGTCATCCACATATCTGTTTACATGAAAAACCTTACTCGTTGGCTGTGTCGTGTGGTGGCGGGTTTTAATGACACATTTATATATTTACACGATCTAACCCAAAAAAAACTCTATTATGGATGATATTGGTTGCGAAAGCCTACGTGTTAAACTGAACCTCTCATAGTATTCTAAAAATGTGCAGGTATTCAGCGGATGGTTAATTCAGTTGCATGCGTGTGTAGAGATGGTATCACTACGAAACGGTACTCACCTGATGTGGTGGACACCACGTGACACGGATAATCAGGAAGTAAAAACAAGCCCTCTGATTGGTTACTTAAAGGGCCTGAAAGGGGATTGGTTAGAGGCAGGGACATATAAGGGATTGGAGGTCGAAATACAAAATGGAAAGAGTGGAAAACGGAGAGATAGTTGTCACGTGTATATGACATGTATAGGTTTTTTAGCAGTTGTATAGCTCTCACATGTTCAGGCACTAGGAATGTGCAACACCAACAGCAGCAGGCAACACGATCTAGTGGCACCCGACATGGTACACAACTATTTTGCTTCCCCTTTATACATCACTCAAGCCCCTTTCCCGTATGTTCCTTGACCTGCTTTGCCTCCAGCTAATCACCTTCCACTTTTCCTAATAGATTCCAACAGTCCTCCCTGTTAATCATCCTCAGCTTCTCACTCTTTCCATTTGTATTTCTCCACCAATCTCGGCAATTCCTTGCCTCTAACCAATCCCCTTTCAGGCAAGTGAAGTGTCAATCAGAGCGGTTTTTTTACTTCTGGACTGTCGGTGTCATTCACACCGTGCCCATAGCGTTGGGTGAGTATTTTCGGGTGTGATTTAATCACTTAAACGATGTAATTAGGATAGAATGCAAGCTGCTCAATTCACTTCATGAAGTGATCCATACCCTCACACAGACACCCGTAGACTCTCAAACACACATACCCATAAGCTCACATGGAGACCAAATAAACACACACATATATACCCGTAGGCTCACATGAGGTATCCATAGACTCAGACAGAGACTCGCAGATTCATGTAGATAACAGTAGGCTCACACAGAGGTCCTTATTGACTCACGTAAAAAAAACCTCACAGATTCAATGTTAATAGTATGGAGCAGCAACTCCATACTATTGTAGAGGTGATACGCGCTGGGATTAAGGATCGTATGCACAGTGCGTGATGATTGGCTGTGTAGGTGGTGACGCGCGCTGACGGTGGAGGATCAGGGGTCAGCGCGGGGTCGTGGGTTACGGGGTACCGATTGGCTGTGGGCGGTGACGCGCTGAGAGAGAGTGCGTCGTGATTGGGTCATTAAGGAACGACGCTCACGTCGACGCCGCATCAGCTCCGTCCCTCGTGAGCAGGGGCTATAAAAGGGGATGCACACAGGCGTAAGGGCAGTGTGTAACCAGCGAAGAAGGAAGACGGGGATGAAGACCTAGAGCCCTGCGGTACCTAGCCCCGCTGTCCTAAGGGGACCGGGACTCTGTGTAACCCAGAGGCGAGTGTAGTGGGTGTAGCCATAGGTCTACACGAGCCGAATGTACTATGTGTAGCCAGGGCATAGGGCTTACACGAGTCGAGTGTATTGTGTAGCCAGAGGCATAGGGCTTACACGAGTCGAGTGTATTGTGTAGCCAGAGGCATAGGGCTTACACGAGTCGAGTATATTGTGTGTAGCCAGAGGCATAGGGTCTACACGAGTCCAGTGTATCGGGTGTAGCCAGAGGCCTAGAGCTTACACGAGATTAGTGGAGTGTGTTGGAGGAAGAAGAGAGACCACACGTTGTATTGTGATACCTAAAGGATTTAATAAAAGTGTGTTACCCGTCAAGAAGTTCCTGCCGTCAATTCCCATACTTCACTATTAACATTCCTTCCCTTTATTAATGGAGCAGCAACTCCATACTATGAACATTCCTTCCCTTTATTAATGCTAACCCTACTCCCTCCCTTTGATGCTGCATAATGCACGGGCATAATATGACTTTGAAACCCCCCCCCACCTCCTACGCATTCCACAAGTAGTGACTAATCCCATATCTGCATTTCCCATAAATATGCTAAATTCCTCTTGATATGCAAATTCCTTTGTCAAGGTGCTTTTCCCCCTCCAACCCAGCTTAAATATATGCTGCCAAGCCTGGTGGTGTTCATTCAGACGCTGTCTTTCCGACAGACCTGTTCTTCACCTGAGGACGGCTGCTTGCGTTGTGGCGGAAACGTCGTGAGAATTATTTTATTATGTTTTATTTTTATTATTTTATTATTTCCCTTCTACGTGACTTTACCGAAAGAACCAATAAGAAAAAAGACCCCATGAACTAACGTACAAAAACTGTTTGAGAATCGCACCAAACAACAATGTGGTTGCAATCCAAAAACACATTGGAGACCTGTCCCCATGTCTCTGTTTTGTTCCCTTCCACCCGGTGGGGACCAGGTGGCTTCGCTGTAGGGCACGCAGTGCAATCGAAGACCAAGGGCATCTGGGCCTGGCCAATTCCTCACCCGGCGAACAAGGATAATTGTCTTCTACTGTTGGACACGGAGGGGCTGGGAGACCCGGAGAAGGTGAGGGAATGTGGAGCGAATGGCTCAACAGGAAGAAAATAAACCTAAAACTTAATGCTGTAATAATGGCCAGAATTCATCGATTAATATGGGGGTTTTTTAAGGGCACCACACACAACTCGAATGAACCTGTGTTAGAGCGAATATCTTTGAATATGTATGTCATTGGTTCGCACGATGATAGAGCTTTGGAAGATGAGTCACTTTGAGTCAATTAGTTGAATACAAATTGTTATCAACTACTCTGTTATGGTGGATTACGTGTGCTGCTTAAGAGGCACCATTCTGGGTTTTTTTCCTCTCCAGAAGCTATGCCACTAATGTCAAAGCAATTAACTAGTGGAGACGTGTGTAGATGACGTGGTGATGATGTGACCTCACAGTAAGCCGACGTACACCACACGCAATAACAGAGTCGAGATGCATGTAGATAACATAGTGCGTTCTGTTCTTACAGTGTATTCACGGATATCACACACACTGAAAAAGTTGAGACGTGTAATTAACGTAGTGACAGACATCACATTCAATTAATGCGTTGATTCACATTTAGATGACGTGGGAGTGGCACTGTTCTCCCAGTGTTCTAGCTGACATCACATGCTAGTAAAGTGTCATTTGCCCCGCCCCTGCCCCTGAGTCATATTTAAATTTATCCTGAGGCTAGTATATCGCGGGTCTAGCTCGGCTTGGAAAACAGCCAGTGTAGGACCACGTGTAGCATTAGGGCACCACGGTGGCGAGATGTTAACCACCTCGCTTGGTATACAGGAGATCGTGTGTTCGATCCCGACCCTGAAGCCTGCTGTATATTTTTAGTTTGCATGTCTCTCTCCCCGTGGTCACGTGCATTTTTCTCCAGAGTCTCCGGTTTTCCTTTCACAATTTAGAACCTGAATTTAAAATATGTGTCTGCTATACATTTCCACATAAGTCACGTTATGGAGCAATAATTTGTGGCCAGGTTGCTTCTGAAAAAGAGCTATATAGCTCAATGGGCCTTACCTAGTAAAATACAAAAATGTAAAGGGTAGTTTTTAAGTATAACATTGTGGCAAAATAAGAACACATTTAATTCATGGATTTTGTAACGGTTCCCAATATGCATTTGTCCTCAGAAGTATAAAAAATGCAGGTTAATTTCATCATTAACAATTTTAACAATAGTAATTGGGCAGGATATGTCCCGGCTAAAATAGCGATTGCGTGACGGCCAATGAATGCATCTGAGAGGACTTGCACTGAGGAGATAGAGCAATGTAATCAGCTAGCATGAAAGGTGCTAGATGGATTGTTACTTTTGCAATCGTGTGAGATATGATAGCAACGTTGGGTCTTCATCCAGCAGTGGATTTACCACGGTTAATGTTAGTACATAACAGCGTTTTGAGCTGGATGAAGTTGATGCCATATAACACGCGATGTTGTGACATGCATGCACGGTGTGTTACATCATCTGCATGGGATTACAAGGCTAGCTGTTTTTATTTAATCTCATCACATTTTTTGGACCTTTTTGATAATGGTCCCAGTTGTCTATCAGATAAATCCCTGATAGCAACACAACTGTATACGTCATATTAATCATGATACGTCTTTATGAAGGTTATCATGCCAGCTTCGAAGACATACGGACAACGTAGATGGACAGAAAGACAGAGCAGATGCATTAACGAATTCAAACTTAGTTTGAAAAGCAATACCGATAAAATTGTATTGTTTGATTAAAAACAAAAGCCCAATGGGCTTCATAAGCTGGACGAGTGTCAGATTTAAACAGCTCATATCTCTCACGCGCAGGCCGATGAGGAACACGACATCTGGCTGTTCATCATGGCCGTGCTGCTGTGTAATGTGCTGGTCTACAACACGGAAAAGAGTCTGGATAACACGGGCCTGGAGCAGCTGCGGTATCCTTCACCATGCCCATGCTGACTTTTGCGTGACACTTTGGGGTTGACGTTTCCAACAAACTTTTGGATGACCTGAATGGCTGGGGGGATTTAAAGCAGTGTTGCTCTGATATGTCGATTTTTACCATACGTCGTCTGATATAATTGTGAACAATAATTGTATTGTATATTGTATATGAAGCAAAGTACATGAACCCCTCATTTACTCAATATACTCTCCAATGAGCTGAGCTACTAACAGTAAGTCATACATTACACTTCTATGTCGCAAAAATATATAATAATATGCCTCCAGCTAAACTTTTTTCTTACATCACACGGATATACCCCGTACTATACACTGCCATAGACAAACCCAATATTTAATTATACACTGCGTTACTATACCAACTACCTTAGACTATACATTGTAATATTACACTATGTATTATTCTACACACCCTACTGTATACCACACTGCTTACGATACGATACTATATATTACACCTGGAGGAGGAGGATTGGCTCTGCTGGCTTCAGCCCACAACCAATGGGGAGTCAAGTTAGGGGCGTGGCCCTGGGGCTGAACAGCGGCTTCTGGAAAGTTCCAGGGATGTGACTGAGGATTGGCTGCGGGGCATCATGTGGGCCAGGGATTCAAAGGGGCGGAGAAGGACAGTACGTGGTCAGAGTGGAAAGGAACGAAGGGGGAAGCCACGCTGGTGCCGTGGTCCGGAGCCTGCCACGTGGCGGGCCGCGGCAATCTCTCTCACTCTCTCTCTCCCTCTCACGCTGTCTGCCAACAGCGTGAAGGAGCAACATGAGTAGAGGAACGGATGTAGTGAGAGCTGGGACGAAACTTAATAAAGAATTATGAATTCCCGACGTTGTCTCAACGGGGTTTATTACATTGGAGTCAGAAGTAAATTTTGAGACCGTTTGGACCATCATCCAAGATGTCCAAGCACCTCAAAAAGAGGAACCCACCAAACCCGCCGTCGGAAGAGGACGATAATGCCGACAAGGACGAGCTGCTGGGCACAACGGGACCACTGCCGCCGACTGCTGCTCTCCCCGACACCGCGCCAAAACGACATGCCAGCGCGGAGGCGTCTTCAGCTGCGGACGAAGGGTGGCATCGAGTGGCGTAACAGATCGAGTCTCTCCGTGCGGTGATGCTCAATCTCGTCACGGTGGTCGCGTCATCTGCCGCCCTGGGTCGGCCTCGTGAGACGCGTCCGAGTGCGGACGACCTTGACCTCCAATGGGGGGCTGTGACTGCCATTACACCTGCTGCGGAGGAGGAGGCTGCCATCTTGGGCGGGGCCACTGCCACGCTGCCTGCGGCCGCCATCTTGGCTGAGCCGTGTGCTGCGCGGGTGGCGGGAACGAGCATGCCCAAGGACTCCGACGGTGGCCGCAGCCATCGCCTCCCTCATATTAAAGAATTCATTGCCGGAGGCGACTGGAGCACATTTATCAGTGCGGTTGACAGAGTCCGAGGCACTGGAGGCTCTACCTATGCTGTTGGATAATGTGTCCTTGGCCGTTTTCCGCTCCATCCCGGTGAGTAGGAAGAAGACGCTAAAGGACGCCTTTGCTGAAATGGCGGAATTTTACGAGCCACCATCGGCTGCTCACAGAAAATGTATGCAGCGAGGTCGAGGGCCGGAAGAAACACCTCTGGCGTACCGTGGTGCGCTAATAGCGCTCGCTATGGCCGCCTACCCCGAGTCCTCCGCCGATCTCCTGCACCCTCTCATTCTTGCAAGAATGATTGAACTATCGCAGGAGTTGAACATCTCGCTGCCGGTGTGTGGCCATGAGCCGCTGACGTCTCGTTGGGCGGCGCGATGTTTAGACGCCAAATTCAATTTGAGACGTTGGGACCAAATGGCGGCATGGACGGGGGACCCCAAGAAGGATGGTGAACAGCTGGGATGGACTCCGCGTCACGTCGTGCACATCCCGGACGAGTCCAGCGATGACGATTTGGTGGCTGCTGCTCCTCGCTGGACCCCGCAACGCCAGCGGGACACGCAGCGCGACGGGGCCGAACGGTCACAAGAGGGGGCCGAGGCGACCGACCATCGGTCAGCCGCCACATGCTTCAAGTGTGGCCGACTGGGCCACTTCGCCCGTGATTGTCGGCGCCGGTTCCGACCTCCGCAGCTCCCATCGGGCCTTCCTCCATCTCCTCCATCGGACACGGATCGACATCATTCTCGGGCAAGTCAGCACGCATCGGGTACCCGGCAGGTCCAAACACCTCAGGCATCCACTCGCACCCCCGTAGGCTTACCAGATGTTAATTGTCGGCAATTAACAATTGTCGGCATGCTGATTTGGTACCTCAGTGGAAAAAATTGGCTCGAAGGGTGGTTGCAGCCGCATCGGGGTCCTCCATAGTACCGGTCACTATTCAAGGGATAGACGTGCGTGTTTTGGTGGACACCGGTGCGTCGGCAACCATTATTTCGGATGTATTTTTTCATCTATTATCCATCCCTGCGTCGCGGGTCCAACCGGCTAACGACGCATGCATTGCCGCTAATGGGGGGGGGGGGGGGGGCATGGGTATCATAGGACGGGTAGATGTCCATATTGCCATAGGGAATGTTGCCGCATCAGGTTCGGTTTTATTTCACGATCGTTGGCAGTTCCATGTTTGTTGGGCACCGATTTTCTGTTAAAATCCTTGTTGATCAGGGTTGTTTAGAAATGCCAGGGGTCGGTAGGATGTCCTTCTTGCCGTCCCTGTGGGGCCGGTCACCTCCAGGAACGCCGTTCACGCGCTTGCCGATATCACTGTGGAGATACCCCTGGGTACACAGATGCTCATCCCGCTGCGTTACCGGAAGCGGTTGGAGACCGCGGATAGGGCGGCGGGTGTGTTACTGTCCCCATCGAACTCAGTGGCTAAGGCCTTCTCCCTTGCAGCGGCTCAAACTATCGTTCGGGCTGGGCAAGCCTAGTTCTTACAAGTGTTGAATGGGGGCCCGGAATGAGTAGTCGTTCCGGCTGGTGCGGTATTGGCCCATGCCACTACCGACTTCACTAGCCTTGATGGGGACCAACCGAGAGTAATGGCTGCTGGCATGTCTCAGGCAACTTATTCGGACGATCGATGGATCGCCGAATTGTGCTGTGAGAATACGTCTTTGTCCTCAATGCAGCGGAACGCATTGCGTTGACTACTATCGAAATTCGCCGACGTCTTCAGTTAAGATGACTTTGATTTGGGCCATACCTCACTCTTGTCACACCATATTGACACCGGTGTGGCAGGACCGATATGTATGCACCCACACCGCATGAGCCCTGCGGAAAGGGAACATGTGCGTGGCATGGTGGACGACATGTTGGCGGCCGACATCATTTCGCCATCTAACATTCCTTGGGGCACACCAGTGGTGTTGGTTAAAAAGAAGGACGGCGGATTGAGGTTCTGTGTTGACTTTCGTCGGTTGAATAAAATATCCGTGGCAGATGCGTACCCCCTGCCACGGATGGACGATTCATTGGACGCCTTGTTGGGGGAAAATTTTGTTTCTACTCTCGACCTCTTGTCGGGTTTTTGGCAACTCCCCCCCGATGATGCGTCGAAGCCGAAAACGGCATTTCGCACGCCGCAGGGCTTGTTTGAATTTAACCGCCTACCCATGGGTTTGAATGCCGTGCTGGCGACGTTCCAGTGCCTGATAGAGTTGGTACTAGCAGGGCTACAGTGGGAGGCGTGCCTCATATATTTGGACGACATTATTGTTTTCAGTCGCACCTTCAAAGAACACCTTCAACGGCTGGAGGCTGTCTTTCAAAGAATGCGATCGGCCGACCTCAAATTTAAACCGAAAAAATGCCATTTGTTGCAACGTTCTGTCCGTTACCTCGGACACATCATCAGCTCTAGTGGTGTGTCCACTGACCCTCACAAGACGTCATGTGTTCGCGAGTGGCCAACGCCCACTTCCGTGGGTGACGTGCGATGGTTCATAGGCTTCGCATCCTATTATCGTCAGTTTGTTAAGAATTTCGCGACGCTGGCAAAGCCTCTGCATGTCCTGATGGGAAAGAATCAGATATTAAAATGGGGTCCGGAAGAGGAACTGGCTTTCCAGTCTCTCCAGGATCGATTGGCCACCGAGCCGACACTCGACTACCCTGATATTTTGCAACCGTTCATCCTGGACACAGATGCTAGCGACACTGGCATCGGTGCTGTTTTGTCTCAATGGAAGGACGGTGTTGAACGAGTGGTGGCATATGGCAGCAGGGATTTGTCTCCCGCCGAAACGCACTATTGCGTCACTCGTCGGGAGTTGCTGGCGATCGTCGATTTTGTTCGCCAGTACCAGCCGTACCTGTATGGTAGAAAATCCCTCGTGCGCACTGACCATGCTGCCTTGCAATACTCACTAAAATTGGAACAACCGTCCGGATAATTGGCTCGATGGTTGGAATTGTTGCAGGAATTTTCTTTTGATATCGGCCACGGCAATGCAGACGCTCTTTCCAGATTGCCCTTGAACCCTCCCTGCGCCTGTTTGACGGGTACACATCGCTGCGCAGCGCCGCCCACCCCGCCCTGTCCGGTTATGGGTGCGATGCCAAAAGATGACGGCCGGTGTACACCCATTGGGGCCGATGGCACGCTGCATTTGCCGCACTCGATGTGGCTGCGTGAACAAAAGGCAGATGCCTCGTTGGCTCCACTGCGGGATCTGGTCGGAAAGCCGAGATTTCACTTGTTGGGCGGGAAATCGCAGTTATTTACTGACCGGGAAGGGTTGCTAATTTGCACAGACAGCTTGTTGGACCGTTCACGCCTTGTTGTGCCATCATCCCTTCACCATGATCTTATTCGCGTGCTGCACGCCGACAAGTTGATGCATCTCGGCATGTAGAAGACATTGCTCACGATGCAGCAGGATTTCTTTTGGCCGGGTATGATGGCGGATATCACCAGGACTATCCGGGCATGCCAAGATTGTGCGAGGCGGAAACCGCCACGTCAAAAT